TATAATATAATACTCAAGTAAAAATAGAAGTTTTTAATTTAGCTAAAGTACTTGCTTAAATGTATGTAAGTATGTCAAAAGTGAAAGAAATGTAGGGCATTCGAACAATCAGTAAAAGCTCTTGCGTGGTTATTAGCTGTCCCATTTTCTCTATATCTTTTAAAAAGCCCATAGCATGAAAACTCAACTTTTCCTTACTTTCTTGAAGTAAAAGAGTTTGATGTAAGCGCTAAAGTTTTGAACAGTCAAAACAATCCATATATAGAAACTGCGAAAACCAGATGATTTTAAATTCACTGTTTCTGTGACGTCATGAAAACCAATGCATTTACAAACACCATTCACAAAAGTATGTGGACACCTTATAAGTGCTATCACTGTGAAGTGGAAGCACAGAGTGGGGCTGCTGTAGCAAGTACAAATCACCTATTATCTGTTGTATCACTCGCTACAGAGTTCCAAACTGCCTCTGGAAGCCACATTAGCCCAACAACTGTTTGTCAGGAGCTTAAATGGGTTACTATGTCTGAGCAGCTGCACACAAGCCTAAGATCACTATGTGCAATGCCAAGCATTGGCCAGAGTGGTGGAAAGCACATCGTCAATGGACTCTGGAGCAGTGGAAACGGGTTGTCTGGAGTGATGAATCATGCTTAATTATCTGGCAGTCGGATGGACAAATACGTGTTCGGTGGATGGCGGGAGAACACTACCTACAGGAATACATGGTGCCAACAGTAACATTTGGTGGAGGAGGGATGATGGTTCGTTTTTCAGGGTTTCAGGGATGTGGGAAGTAGGTGCTGAGGGCGCTGAGGGCGCTGCAACATCCCATGATTTCAGGATCGTTGTTAAAAATAATAACAGTTAAACATTCTGAATTTCATAATAATTTGAGCGCTAAAAGATCTATATGTGCTTGTTTTACAGAGAAGTTTTTATTTATATATTTTATTTATACAGTCTAAAATCTGTAGTTGTTGTGCGCTTTTTAAGTGACGCCGCATTTTCATTACAGTGAGCCAACAGCTGTTTGCCGGTTTGGGGCCGTGTTGCTCAAACACACGCAGGCTAAGGTGCAAAGAGACTATGCAGAGTTACAGGCCAGTTCTAAACCCCAAACCGGTCTAATATTGTTTTTTTTTAAACTGAAAAATAATAATTTATCGTTATAATGATGATGCGGCGTAAAAAACAATCCCACAGATGCACTCCAAAATTTGTGGAAAGCCTTCCTAGAAGAGTGGAGGCCTGCAAAAGGGGCGTGCGGGGGTGGAAGGCAAATCCAAATCAATGCCATAGTTTTGGAAGGAGATGTCCAACAAGCCTTTACAGGTGTGATGGTCAGTTGTCCACATAGTTTAGGCCGTATTGTGTATACCCACCAGCAGTTCAGTCCCACCCATTCACACTGGGGTTATAAGCAGTGTTTCAGCCCAGAGGGCTTTTTGAATGAGGCAGAACAGAAGAACAGGGCTTATTTACATATATCTGTATTAAACATACATCTTAAAGGTACAGTAACAAAAAACAGCCTGTTTGCTTTTAAGGTGATAAAAAGAGGTTAGAAAATGGTGATGTAAAGAGGAACTATGGCTTTGTTCGGTACAGAAATGCACACAAACATCATAAGTGGACATCAGGTGAAAAAATAAAATACAAGAAAAATGTAGGTTCTGGGCCCTTTAATATGTTTTTTCAACTCCAGTTTTGGAGACTCCTGTTTTCTCCTTTGACCTTCCCCTTCCTTATGCATATATGAGACCTACTCAGAAATATCTCCTGAAAAGTGATGAACTTGCACTTTGACTGGAAATTAAATAAATGAAGAGCAGTCTCCAACTTTCTGAGTAGCGTAAAGGAAATAACCATTGCTAAACATCTGTCGGTCCTGAAATGTGGGTCAAATACAGGATGCTAGATACGAGACCATGGCGGTTAATATGTTCAGTTTGAACTTAAGGCAGGTTTACATCTTCAAGAAGCAGATTAGGAGCTCATGCAGGGGTTGGCTAATCTGAAAAGGATGTGATCCCTTCTTATACTGTGTTCTATCGAACTAGGAAAACATTAACTCTATTCTGGCCTGCCAGTTAGACCACCACTAAGGACCAGCAGGTGTAAGCCATGTCCTGCAGAGGCAGCTGAGTTAAACTCCTGGATGGCACACAGGGCCTGGGTAGTGTTCCTCTGTTAGAGAGGTTATTAGCACTGTAAGGCATTAGATCCTAATCACTCAATAGTGAGTATTTTGGCCTGCATAAATCTAACACACTGATAAGCAGCTTTGTAATGAAGACTTTCCTGCTTAATTCCCCTGATGCTTTGTAAAGATACAAAATACACAGTGTCAGACTGAAAGCACTGAGTTGTGTTACATTCTCTCTGTTGAGGAAGGACTTTGAAGTCAGTGCAGCATGTGTAAGTAATCACTATTACTTGCTTTATAAGTTTGGCACACCAAGTTTGGCTTTATAGTGGAAAAAATCTAAAAATAAATGTACTGCATGGTTGTACACACTCACTCCATCATGACATCCATCCTTTGGTGAGCTGTTTCCACTTACAGTGTATTATTGTGGCAACAGAGGAGAAATAATGCTTTAAAAATCAATGCACATGTTTTCATGTGCCTGAACTGAGTGCAGACCATTTGACGCTTTCATGCAGAGACAAATATGGACCATTCTACCCAAGTAGTTTGAACTGTGGTTTGAACTGAGGATTGAAGAAAGAAATCTGTCTGCCTCTGGCAAAAAGCTAAAACCGGACTGAGATTGGATCTTCCAGTAGGATTCAAAACAGGCCTACAAGCCCAAACAGAAATGGATCACTGACCACAAAATCACGCTATGGGTTTAACCTTTTAAATTAAAATTTATTCAAAAATGCTGTTTCACGTTTTTATCTCACTACAGAAAAACGGCGGAGCCTTATTTTGGCCACGCCCTTGCATTTTAGAGCAGGAAGTGAGACTGCATCCCTGTCCCTCATGGCCACATAGTGAGCAGTTAGATCCCATTGTTTTGAAGTAAAAATGTCCCAAACTCAGTGTTTCACACATATTTTCATCATTAATGGCTTTAGACCTCTAGGTGGTGCGCGCCATTCAGTTAGAGTTGTCACATTGTTATGATATCTTATTGCTCACAAATTGATATTTAAAAATAAAACAAAATAAACAATATTATTACCAGGAATAATCCATGCATTTTCTGACACATATTCAGTCATTTCAGAAATTCAGATATCAGTTTCTCGTTCTTTAGAGTGGCAGGTTTTGATTTATTGTTTGTCATGGAAATATATAAATTCTGGGTCAGATCTGTACATATATGTGATATATATATATATTTAAGAAAAATACTTTCATAACAACGAATGTGACCAGGGTAAAAGAAAGGACTATAAGTGTAATGTAACGGAGGAAGTCAAAAAATGACCACAGTACAGTAAATAAGTGCAATGTAAATTACAAAGGTAAAGCAGGTCAATGCATCATTTCTGGATTCTGCTGCATTTAATGCATAAAAACTTCATAACTGTGGATCAAAACACAGGAGCATCAGTAGACAATCAGACTTAACATGCAAGACTCAAACACCTTCATTTGCTCAAAGTCCTTAAAGCAAACAGCACAGGTACATACATACAGTAGACAGTCATGCTACACAGTTCGCAAAAGTTAGGAGCCGTGTAGTTTGGGGTTTGCGGCCCTTCAGAACAAAAGAAACTTATGCCACATCACAGACTCCAAATGCACCACAACAAAACTAAACAACTATCTGCATTTGATTTTAATTAGAGTTCTACTGGGATTATTTATGAACTAAGTGATGTGTCAACTTTATAAGTTGAATAAAGAAAAAAATAAGCAGAAATACATTCTCAAAAGAGGTAGCTCAATGTTCTACTTCAAGTGGCAGACCTTTCCTGACAAACCAGCGCTCCAAATGCGGATGCTCTGTAGTATATTGACACTAATCACATAATGTTGCTAGAAGTAATGTGAGCTTTGCTGTTAGCTGAGGGCTGCTGCTCACTCACAGAGAATGTTTTTTAACAGGTCAGTATGTGCATGGTGCATCTTCATTCACCCAACCTCTCTGTTTTAACTTACAACGCTTACTACATCACTGGTGTGGAAGGTTTTGTGAACAAAGGCACCTTTAAACAATATGTAATCAACAATATAGAGTATGTACCTTTTGCAGTGATCATCCCAAGAGCCTCTGAATTTATTACACATAATTCAAAGCTGGGAAGGACACGTCCTCCCTGGCCCCCCTTATTTTGCACTAGTGAAAAAATGCTGCATGTCTGAAACACTGCCATCTTGAAGCCTTTTGTTCGTCAATTTTAATTAATAACAGTATGTCATACAATGTCAGAAACCACATAAGCAAGCACTTGACAGCAAGGTTGACGTGATGATTTGGGCATGAAGTTTGCATTCTGGTAATTGGTGAGCTTTAAGCTTCCACTACCTTTAGCTATGTTAGTGGTATACAGTCCTATGCAAAGGTTTGAAAACCCCAAGTCTAATTTCATATTTGGTTGATTTTCAAACTGAAAATAAGTGCACTTCATATACAGGGAACAAACTTAAATATGCCAATTTTAATGCACAATTTTTATTTATTTTCTGAGTTTAACATATTTTGCACAGGCCATATTAGATGTTTTAATTTTTTCCCAAATATGTAAAATTCAGCACATAAACAACAATTGTGCATTAAAATTTGCAGAACATAGGTTTACAATGCCAGAGAGGGTAATCAGGGGAGTACAAGCACAAGAACGTTATGACCAAGTGTAGCTCTGTAGATATTTAGGGGTCAAACCAGTTTGCTGATTGTAACTGACTCTTGTACAGTGGATAGAGATTAGATGAAATAAGGTTAGCGTCTTTTTCTCATTTCCGGTTCCACCTTAAATGATGTAGCAGCTACATTTAGATGCCTGTACAGGTGCTAGCATGTACCTGCTGCACTATTTAAGGTGGAACAGAAATTCAAATAAGAAGTTAACATCAGCCTTGAGAGATCAGCTTATCAGATTAATTGCGATGGTGTAAATCTGGTACTGGTTGACAAAACATGCAGCACTCTGTAGAGTTCATTAGTATATTGTACATTACCAGTGTATCAGTTTTCATATGTGCACCATGTGAAGACGGACAGCAGCGACAAGAACTGCAAAAAAACTAGGTGGCACCAAAAGACAAGAATGAATAAGCTGTGCAGGAAAGATGAGGACATATCCGAGCAGGTGGGCAGTAAGAAATACTGCCTTTAACTCACTTAGATTGCATTAGTTTGTTGCATATTGACTGTCATAATTACGTCACATTTAAGATAAAAGCTTTCACTAGTTTTCATTTTATAACTAGCCACCTTGGTTATGTCAGTGTAGTGCTTTGTGTGTTTGTTTGGGGTGGGCTAGTCTGCATCATGTAACTCCTGGTATGAAAACAAGTCCCACTCTGGCCCTGCTAGAGGATATGTACTTAAATTTACTTAGAAATTCGACAAAATATTTCTTTTGACCACACCAATTGTTTGCATACGACTGTGGATCCAGTGCAAAACTTTCACCCATAACATGTCTTGGTTGGTCAACTACATTTGGGGTCAGAAAAACACTCTGTGCACTTGATTTTTCTTCAAACTATTGCTTTAAGCACAGTGTTGTTAGTGACAGCAGCATATTTTAATGTCATTTACAATCTAATGTCTTCAGTAGAGGTCAATTCTCCATCACTGAAATAAGCACAGGCTTTGGTACGATCCTCAGTGCGTGTTTGCTTTGCGTATAAAAGTATGGCAACACCTTTTCCGTGAATGTGTGCGTGAAAGTGTGTAGGGTACATCCCTCCACAGGACAGGAGAAAGACACCTCCCCCGCACCCCAGTCCAACTGCACTCTGACTATCTGCAACCTTCGTTTGACGGCCAAAGGCTTCGGGGGCGACGCCATGGCCCTGTATTCCTCATCCCTCAGACATAGGGTCCAGAAGCCGTTCTCTGGACGTGCTGAAACCTCAGTGTCCCTTTTTACAGAGGCACTGGCTATCCCCAAGATCCAATCGTCACTGGCCCCTACCTCCACGTCCCAGCTGTGCATGCCAGAGCAGAGGGCAGTGTGGCCCAGAACTTCAGCACTGATGTGGAAACGCTCAGGGTTGCTTGGGAGGGGAGGACATGGGCTGCAGTAGTGGACAGAGGTAAGGTCATCAGACAGGTAGAGACAGGGGTGGGCTGTGTTTGGGTCCAGGGTCACAGGGGCTGCACAGTGAAGTAAGAACAAGTCCAAGAGTTCATCCTCTAAAATACATTGGCATAAATCAAGCAAAACACTACCAGAGAGCTGCAGGATACAGACAAAATATTAGTATTGGGATGATACTGCTAAATATGATGATCGTGATACGTCTTGTTATATGTCATTAGTAAGAATGGTCACAGCATACAATAAAAAATGCACATTTGCAAATTGCAATGTCAGTACTGTGAACACATTATAATTTATTCAGCTTTATGCTGCTCACGATTTGCTATGCTATTCTATATGGACTATTCTACTATATTAATTCAATCTGCCATTCCACTGAAAAAAAAGACTCCTTAAAAAACAATTTATTATTTAGACCATAGATATTTACAAAGATTGTGTTACAATTAATTTGAACCCAATGTATTCATTGAGATAGCAGTGAACTAAAAATATACAAAATTAATTTTTAGGGTACCTCCTTCTGTTGGGGGGTGGGCTCACAATTTACACTTGTGAAAATAATACTTAGATATTTGTTTTTTGAATGTTCATTTTAATTCTGTTCTTTTAAAGTGAAGTTGAAATACTTAGTTTTGTCACGGCCCATGTTCACAATATTTCTTTTTTTCTGACACCTGGTAAGTTGGAACAGACAATGTAGCGTCTCATTTAAAAAAAATACTAGCAAACATCATAAATCCAATGATTTTGCTACACTAAACCCAAATTAAACTGAAGTAACTAAGCTTTCTTTGTGATCAAACATGCAGTTTTTAAGTGTTTTTTTATGATATCCACAATATGTTCAGAAAAGTATGCTGTGACATATTGTGAAGTAATTTATCACAATAACAATAGATATTGTCAATTTGCCCAGCTTCTGCTGTGTCTGATCCAGGTACCAAAACTACCACCACCATGTCAGTGTCACTGCAGTGCTAAGAATGATCCACCATCCAAATAATACCTGCTCTGTGGTGGTCCTGTGGGGGTCCTGACCATTAACGAACAGGGTAAAAGAGGGCTCTGTAATTGTAGGACTACAAAGTGCCCCTTTATGGTAAGTAGATTTCCATTTCTCCCTTAAACACAGCTTCTATAAATGCTGCCTCAATTTTGTTCATAGAAAGTATAAAATGGCAACAAAAATGATCATTTGGTGTGCTATAGTCACATGCTTTACTAGGTGGAGCTAGTGCAAATAGTCAGGCTTTGTGGTTAATGCTATTTTCACTTGTGTAAAAAGTGAAGGCCTGTAAGGAAACCAACAAAATTAGAACATATTTTTCTGTGGCTGTCTTAGTGGCCCCATGGCCCCCAGATTGAGAACAACTACAATAGAAGATCTAATGTTTTATTCAGTATTTCTAACAGAACAGCTTTAATTTTTTTTTCAGAACAAAGCTTTGAGTGCCTTGTCTTTTTGTTCTTTCAAATGGAAAGTTGTCCATCAGTGACACATCATTGCCTTCTTGTGTTTCTGGAAGGTACTCACAGTAGGGAGCAATTCGCTGCATCTTCTCCCAGACTCTGAATTTGAGGTTACTCAAGTGCTTGGCCTCGTCCATTAAAGCTCCACAAAACCCTTCTGGATCCTGCAGTGAACTCTGGGTTCTGCAGAAACGATCAGGCTTCTGAGTGTTTTTGTTCAGCTGTTGATCTTAAGACTTATTATTCAGAAGCTGCTATGAATCATTCAGTAAGTTTCACAAAACTAATCTGTAAGTGAAGTAGTTATGAGAGTGTGGGACCACATATGCATTGTAATCAAGAGTCACTCCAAATGGCTGGAAGAATCACAACTGACAGTTTTGATTAAAACAATATATTCTTCTGCTATGACCTCAGTGAGTAAGCTCAGGCTTGGCCAGTGTGACTGATATTCTGTTCCAGCAGTTTCCTGGCCCCTATGTCCAGCATATCAATACAGATTATATCTCTGATACAGGGAAAAGATAGAGAATTTCTACATACCTCTCTATGGTGGATTTGAAGTTCTATGAAAGTAAGCAAAACACAATGAGCTGTAATTACACGCTTAGTATAAACTGGGATTCAGTTCAGCAAAATAATAAAGTATGTTCTGTAAGCCTCTCCTGACAATCAGTCTACGCCTCTTAAACAACAGTACTGAAGACCAAAAACACAGAATCCTGTTAAAGAACATAATATAGCAAGTGTTTTGTCATTTTCTCACCTGCAGCAACGTCAAGTCGTCAGCAGCCATTTCCTCCTCTGTGCTCCTGATAATGTCTAAGAGCGAAGACATCCTGCCCATGAGGAGCTCATCTCTATTCTTCACAGCCAGCACTCTCTTCTCCTCTTCTTTCTTCAGTGCAGACAACCTGGCTTCCTCTTCCTCACGCAGAAACTGATGCATCTCCAGGAACTGATCCCTTATTCGCTTCTCTATTTGCTGAGCTTGACTCTGGAACACAAATCTATATGAATCATCAGGAGTCTCTCTGTTTTTTTCTTTTTGTAAAATCAGTTTTTGGGTGATTAGAAATACCAGTAGTACCTTAATATGTTCCAGGGTCAAAGCTGAAGTCATCCTGAGTTTGGTGATCACATCCACGTTGTCCTTCAGTGTCTTCACTGCAGAGCTGAGTTTATCCTGCAAGTAGAAGATACTCAAAACGTTTGATCGCTGTGAAAATTAATACACTCACTTGTTTTATGCAAACTATTAGTGACTTTATTATGAAAGGTATTTCCTGCCAGAAAAACTAAAAAAAAACACTTGTGCTTTTTGTCTCCATCTATGTTTCTGGCAGCAGTATGTGAACACATTGATTTAGCATCTCAGTCAGTAAGTCACTACTTCAACATACTCCATAGTGTTGACTCATAAGTCATTATTGTGAGACATTAAGTCAACATTTTGAGAAAATGGATCATTTAAGATACTAAGTCAGTATTTTGAGAAAAAAGTAATTATTTCAAGGTAATAAGCCAATATTTCAAGAAAATATTGTTTTCTAAAAATGTTTTTTTTTCACCTCCTACTGGTGTAAATGGGCTTCCATACTTAATGGGAAAGCCAATGCTTGCATGTAAATGTCACAAATGTTTATTTTAGGTCGACACACAGATGACTATTTTTACACATTGGCCTTTGGTCTCCCATAAAGTCAATGTGATCTTGCATAAAAAACTGTAGTGCATTGTACACCTTCTCAGAGGGAAGGGCACAGAGTGCATTCCTCTGGGCTAAACCTTGAAGAAACATTGCTCAGGGTTCTCTCTTCCCAACACATGTTTGAATTGGAAACATTCTTCCCCTAAATCAAACATGTGAATGTGCAGATTTATGGAATATTGTTCAAGAACATAACAGCTTGAAAGGAGCAAGACTCTTTTTTTTTCCCTTTTCTTGCCACAGGAATGCAGATGTGGGCCTTGTAGGTGCTGCCGGAATGCCTCGGCCGTATTCCTCTGGCAGGACGTGCCGAGATAGTGTCAGAATAGACTAGATTAACTGCATTCCCTCAACGGGTTGCTCCAAAATTCTTTCATGGCTGGAGAACAGCAGCGAGCATTTACAGACGCACAATGCAGCACAGAGCCGGCGAGACAATGCCATCACTGTGAAAACTGTACCTTACAGTCCAGAGCTGCCTCCCCCGTGGGTGAGCAGTCATGGCCCCTATGTGTCCTCGAAGCCTGGCACACCACGCAGATGGGCTGCTGGTCGTCCACGCAGAAGAGTTTCAGCTTCTCTCCATGCTGACCACAGGTGAGGTTCCCTTCGCTCGTTTCTTTCTGGCTTCGTCCTTGAAGGAATGCCTCGCAGAGGTTCCTCAGGGCCAGGTTGGATGGGGGGCTCTTCTTGGAGGCCCTCCTTCTGCAGACAGGACAGGCACGGGAGCTACCGCTATCCCAGAAGCGCTGCAGGCAGGCTCTGCAGAAGCTGTGGCTGCAAGGCAGCAGGACCGGATCCTTGAAGATGTCGCAGCACACGGGACAAGACAGGTCATCTTCTAACAGACTGGACGACATGTTGAAGGGTGACAGGTACACAAACTTCTCTCAGAATCAGAATCATTTATCAGCCAAGCGCATTTTCACATACAAAGAGTGTGTTCTGTATGGGAAAATATGCTCTCTCCACATGTCTGTTGCTACAGTCGACCTTAATAAGCTGTTTTGTCTGCAGGCTAGTCTTGCTCTGCTGGTTTCACAGCACTCTGAGCTCCGCTGCCGCAGTTGGCTCTCTCTGCAAGTGCATTAACAGCAGACAGGGAGGAGTGGCACAGTGAAGGCAGGAGACAGGAAGTAAAACCTTCCTGATGATGTCAAATCTTGAGGTAAACTGGTTGTGATCTTCATTTTTGCGATGCCTACTTTTCATAGATGTCAAGTGGATGTCATTAGTCATTCACTGTGTATCTGAACGTTTATATGTCAACAGGTCTTGAAGAACCATCATTTGAACTAGCAAGCATATTCATTTCTTCTTAGGCGTGTGCCAATATAAAAATTGAATGCCATGTTAAATAAAACTTTCTCAAAGTTTACAATATTATCATGATATTGAATATCGATTTGTTTTATTGTTTGTCTTTATTGTACTCCTGAAGACCAGAATGTTCATGCGATGCTGGGCTACTGAGCTACAGTGTCTCCATTTTATTTTATTCATTTTACTGCATTTATAATCCTCTAAAAAGTGTGTTTACATTACATTTAATCCTAATCCAAGATGATCTAGTTTCAATTTCTACATCTGAGGGAATTTGTTCCAAAATGCATTGTTTACCACTTTCAATACTTTTCTTGTTTTCATAATACATGTTGTTGGGAGCAGGCTTTACACATACAAGAAATATCATGGTGTAATTAACGGTATAGTAACACCACTTTTATTAGACAAATTGCTACTTTTTTCAAAAACTTGTTATATAAAACATCTATCTTTAAAGAAACTTTACAGATGGTTCTTTGTACAATAGCACAGCAGTCTTCATTAATTTCTGGAATGTTTTTTTGACAATCTTAATGAGCATCATGTCTTGGTTTGCACTAGATTTTTTGTTTTTGTTGTTTCAGTGACCAATGGTAGACACTAGGTGCTGTAGCTAGCACATTGTGTATAAAAGAATAGCACCTTGACCTTTATCATGAACATGCTCAGACCAGCAGCCGTACAAATATCCAATAAAGCAGGGGTGCCCAATCCTGGTCCTGGAGATTTACCACCCTACAGAGTTTACCACCATACATAGCTTCAGCCCTAATCTAACACACCTGATCCAGGTGACCAAGTCCTTTAGGGGCATCTCTATATAAGAGCCAAGTGTGTTGGAGCTGAACTCTCCAGGGTGGTAGATCTCCAAGACAAGGATTGAGCACCCCTGCAATAAAGCTAGGAATCATAATGTGACAGTGTAGTGGGACCTTTTGAAAGCAGAGCTACCCTAGAAAATCTCTAGCGAAACCTGTTTGACCAAAATGCAGGGACAGTATTTAACCCCTTAAAATCCCAAACGTACTACAAACTAAGCCTTATTATTCAGTAATTACTGACTGAGCTATTCTTAGGTTACAGAAATGTGTAATAAAACTTTGGGTCTGCCGGTGGGCCCTGGCCATTTAAGGGGCTTAAAGATGCCCATGATTGCAACAGTGAGTGCATTGAACATCAGAGTATACCTTATTATTGAATATCGGTACATATGTCTTTTGACAGCACTGTAAAAAGTGCTATATAGTAAAATTACAGTCGGAATGTACTGTTCGTTCACATTACAATATACAATATAAACAACAATTTACAATATAAATGAGCACACATTCTGGTTTTGTGTTTCTTGCCAACTTGCTAATTCCAGTGTTTAAGGGCAGCAGACAACAGAAGGTACAAGCTCTGGGTGGGGCACAAAGGAATTTAAAACTTCTGCTGACGGTAGAACTGCCTCCCCTGCTGTCATTTCTCTGAGCCAAGTCTGAAAGCATTTCAGTTAAGATGAATGAGAAAGGTTTGACGTGTGGAAATATTTTGATCAAGGTGAGAAAATCTGAGGGTTATTTCTCACGAGCAAAATTTCAGAAACAGGAGAAAATGGCTTAAGTCTCACTCTGATTTCAAACCATGTCTAGGATAAGTAACCTACATGAGATTAAGAGATCTCTCCTCTGGGTTAGGCCTAATATGCTGCTCATATTTAATGGAGTTCTAGAATTTTCCTTTGATTAAACTGAAATAAAAATCTTTCCTGTTTTTTTTTCTGCTGCTGTACATACAGCAGTGTTAAATTAATGAATTTTCAATGTTAGTAGTTGTTTGCACGATAAAGACAGCCTTCAAGGAAGTGCTATGAAAGTGCTAGCTGAAAGGTCTTCTCTCCCACACCTTTAATAACAAAATAGCAGCCCATACAAAACGGTCAGAGAGAATGAAGTACTCGATTTTTAAAAACTATACAGTCTAAAAAGAAATATAGACCCTTATTTGAAGGAAAAACAAAGCCTGAGGAGAGGGTGGGGGATGCTAACGTTAGCGTAAATTTAGCCTTCTCTCACGCCTTTAATACCAAAGGTGGTAGAGAAAAATAACAGTCCAGGGAAGCGACAGCTGAACGCTGAAGACCTAGACTAATAACCGATGTCTAAAATGAAATACATCCACGTATTCGCCATATATAATCGTTTATTTCCGTTGTTTTTATGATGACCTCCACCCGCTGATCCTCCCTGCTCTCCTCCGCTCTCCATGGTTGCCATGGCGATGACGTCACGTTGCACCACGGGCTCCAGCCCAGTAAGCGAGAGCAGGGAGGGGCGGTGAGAGATAGAGATAGAGAGAGAGAGAGAGAGAGAGAGAGAGAGAGAGAAAGAGAAAAAAAGAGAAAGAGCCAAACCGCCTATATTCAGCCGGAGCCCAGATCCTTCAGCGCTTCAGCAGCGGCAGCGGTGACCGTCCAGCTCTTCTGCAGCTATAACGCTACTTCGCCCAGCAGCACAGGCACGATGCGCGAGATTGTGCACCTGCAGGCCGGCCAGTGCGGCAACCAGATCGGAGCCAAGGTACAGATACGATCCGCAGGTGCAGCTTTGCATGCACTGAAAAAACAGGGACATGCATGGAAATCCGAAATCCTGTTCGCCGGCTTCTTGTTCGAATTTTCCCGGTCTACCTTAAACGGTGCAGCAGTTACATTCTGGCACCTGAGTCGCTATAATGTAACTGCTGCACCATTTAAGGTGGAACGGAAAAAAAATCTAACAAGAGTGTGGCGAATACAAGGCTGACTTAATCCGCCCTGGAGAATTCTCCAGAAAGAAGGCTGCGGGGAATGGGGGATCTCGTCTCATTCGTGCCCTGGATTTTTAATGATGAGCTGAGATTTGACCGTGTGCACGATTTTCACCATGCATTTTGAAAGAGCTCAGCCTGATTGCGTGCCGTTACATAGCCATGCAGTGGGTGTGGGGTGCTTTCAGACATTGTTCTACGCTATAGTGATTGCATTGTTGAAGGACTGCAAAAAGAAAATGTGTTCATTTTCCAGTGGTATATTCTGAAACATATTTGAAACAGCACTTATTTTGGATGTCTTGTCCTGTTTGTCCGATTCAGGTTACTAACTGCATAGATTCCATTGTTGCAGTCAATTATACTTCCTCATCCTCTAGAATTACTAGTTTTGCATTTGATTGTGCTTATTACAGTCTGCTTCTGTGAAATTTGTTACCTCAGTGACATATACAGTGAATTTTGGGCTTGACCTACATTCCTTGAATGCCATCGAAATGGCTTTGCATGATGATACAGCAAATATGGTTCAGCCTGCCAGATTTGCTCTGATTTATAAAAGGAACATGCATCGTGCATAAGGTTGCATATGCATCAAGAAAGATGTTTTGAAGGAAAAAAGAAAGAAGACTGTTTATTCAGCGATGCCTCATTTGCATTGTTTCACTGAACCTGCTGGATGAGGGGGATGTGCTGAATAATGATGCCACCTTTTTTGCCATATGCCTTAAATAAATGACATAAATACATAGAACCATAAACAATACAACCATCCCCAAGTAATTTGTTCTGTTTCTGAAGGGGGTAGAATTAATCCTAAATCTTATTAATTTCTTCTCCCTCCCTCCCCCACCTCTTTTCTGTGTCTCTCCATCTCTCCGGCCTCCGCCCTACTCTCTCTCTCCTCCACTCTTCCTCTCTCAGTTCTGGGAGGTGATCAGTGATGAGCACGGCATCGACCCAACTGGAACATACCATGGAGACAGTGATCTGCAGCTAGACAGGATCAGCGTTTACTACAATGAGGCTACAGGTAGCACCGCTGATCTTTACTGATAACCAGTTACTGTCAATAGCAATGTGACAATAAATCAGCTGCTTTATCAAATGACTTAAAAACACATCATTATGCAGAGAATGCCTGCAAGAAAATTCAGGAATCATTTACAGCAAGCTAGTTTTTGTGCCATGAAGACAGATGCTCTCAAACAGCAACCGTGACTTGGCAGTTTCTGACTGAGGACAAATATAAGTGGTAAATGTTCGTTCTTGCCCTACCCAGGTGGTAAGTATGTTCCCCGTGCCATCCTTGTGGACCTGGAGCCCGGCACCATGGACTCAGTCCGTTCTGGCCCCTTCGGACAGATCTTCAGACCAGACAACTTTGTGTTCGGTGAGGAGATCATTCATTTTTCACATTTAAGAGACCCAATTTTTCCCCTATTCTTTAGCAATTCAAGTCAATTATCCTGTTTTCACCACTGTGGATGTGCTTATCTTTGATCATTTTTTTACCATTTTGATTTCATTGGTTTTGTCATGTTTCAAAAACCAACACTCTTCCATATATCCACCTGTTCAGACTACAGGAGTTTAGCCCTATCCATTTATGCTGACATTATAATGAATGTTTCAGAGCAGACTGTTTTTTGAATGAGATACAATACAAGGCCAATCAAAACAAAGGTCATTTACATATCTCTGTTTTTTATAATTATTTTTAATTTCATTTGGGCACAGCAACTACCCTTAACATTGTGTCAAAATTCTATGATGAATGGACCAATAGAAATGTTCCAAAACCTTTTTTTACTTTCTTCTGTAAAAGTTGCCATTTTCGAGATACTTGTTATTTTTTGGACAACACGAATGTATTACTTTTATAGGCACAGTATCAAAAACAGTGATGAACAGAGTTTGGAAAATACTCATTTAGAAATTAATTACAACTGCTTTTGGTACACAAACCCACACAAACGTGGACCTCAGGGAAAAATAAAATGTAAGAAAACTATTAGATATGGGCTTTTTAACATCTACTATGCCTGGGTATTGCTCCTGTTAATATGCATACATATACATACTGTTCCTATTTATAGGCCAGAGTGGTGCTGGAAACAACTGGGCCAAGGGCCACTACACGGAGGGAGCAGAGCTGGTAGATTCAGTGCTGGATGTGGTGCGTAAAGAAGCTGAGAGCTGCGACTGCCTGCAGGGCTTCCAGCTCACCCACTCTCTCGGTGGAGGTACTGGCTCCGGTATGGGAACCCTCCTCATCAGCAAGATCCGTGAAGAATACCCCGACCGGATCATGAACACTTTCAGTGTGGTGCCCTCACCCAAAGTGTCCGACACTGTGGTGGAGCCCTACAACGCCACACTGTCTGTGCACCAGTTGGTGGAGAACACTGACGAAACATACTGCATTGACAATGAGGCTCTCTACGACATCTGCTTCCGCACTCTCAAACTGACCACGCCCACTTACGGCGACCTCAACCACCTTGTCTCGGCCACCATGAGCGGTGTGACCACCTGCCTGCGCTTCCCCGGCCAGCTCAATGCAGATCTGCGCAAACTGGCTGTCAACATGGTGCCCTTTCCCCGCCTGCACTTCTTCATGCCCGGCTTTGCACCCCTCACCAGCAGGGGGAGCCAGCAGTACCGGTCCCTGTCTGTGCCTGAGCTCACACAGCAGATGTTTGACGCCAAGAACATGATGGCTGCCTGCGACCCACGCCACGGCCGCTACCTGACCGTGGCCGCCGTCTTCCGCGGGCGCATGTCCATGAAAGAGGTGGACGAGCAGATGCTCAACGTCCAGAACAAGAACAGCAGCTATTTCGTGGAATGGATCCCCAACAACGTTAAGACGGCCGTGTGCGACATCCCGCCCCGCGGCCTCAAGATGGCGGCCACCTTCATTGGCAACAGCACGGCCATCCAGGAGCTGTTCAAGCGCATCTCCGAGCAGTTCACCGCCATGTTCCGCCGCAAGGCCTTCTTGCACTGGTATACCGGAGAAGGCATGGACGAGATGGAGTTCACCGAAGCCGAGAGCAACATGAACGACCTGGTGTCCGAGTACCAGCAGTACCAGGACGCCACAGCCGAGGAGGGCGAGTTCGAGGAGGAGGGCGAAGAGGAGGTCGCCTAAATCTCAACCAGCCTCCCAGCGTTGGTCCACCACACCACACTTATTCCTGACTCATCCCGTTCCATTACGAAGCAGGTGTTCGCGAAAAGAAACAAGGGGGTTTTACACATCCTTGAAAATCCCCTCTCGTAATCATGGTTGTTCTGCATAGGGAAAGTGACATTTGAAATCAATTGTGCAACTTTTTTTTTGTTTGACTTTGTGTTTTTGTACTGTGAATGCACTGCATCATCTCCCCCCACATTGCCTTGCAGAAAAGAAAAGTGGTTTTAACTGTGAAGCCTTCAGATTTGAGAGTAATTTAACTGCTGTCCAGTTCAATCTGAATAAAGGCTAATTCTAAACTCCAGTTGTTGTTTGGCTTTTTTTGTCAGCAGTGAAATTCAAGTGATCTGCACTTTAAGGGCCTATACTGTGAAAGCCTGATTTTTTAAAAATGATTTATATCTAGTATGTAGAAAAGTTTTAAAGGGTACAGTTCACTCCCCAGTCCATAAAAGAAAACTAAGCTGTAAAAATAGACTGATTTGAATTCACTTTTTGTGATACAACACAAACCACAACATTTACATTTATATGCTTATTCAGCCTACAGAAGGTCAGCTTCACCTATTCACACTGGAGTTATAAAGCATGTTTCAACATGCTTTTTGAAGGAGACTAATCTGGCCAGAGCTCATTTACATATATCAGTCTTAAAGGCTAATAAAAACAGGCGGTTTAATTCAAAGAGCAAGAGAGTTTGGAAAATAAATTAGGTACCAATTATTTATGACCCTTTCTTTGTACATAAAAATATACAAACATTGAAAGCGGACCTCAGAGAAAAAAATAAAACGCTATAATAGTTCTGAATATACGCCCTGTAATATAGTGAAATTTCAGTAAACCCTTTTCCAACATTGCCACTAAACGAAACAGCAGTAAAATACCATTTTGTGCCTGGGTGTTAGTATCAACCTTTACCACTAGGGGGTGCCATTTCCCAAAATGACAATTTTACATTCTCAAAGCTGTAAAACTGCTTTCAACCTCAAACCTACTGAAACATTCCTCAGCAGTTCAGCCCAAATGCAACATGGTATCTTGGATGACACACACTGTCCCTGTTCCTCTCCGTACTGAGCTAGTAGTAACACAAAGTTCAGCTTTTGTCAGCATGGCACATTTTATTAATTATATATGCCCTGGATGGCTTTAATCCCTCCTTTAATATCTGTTTAAGGCCTTTATCAGCAATTTCATTTAAAAAAATCATGTTTCTTTTGCACGTTTCTACTGAAGGATGTCTCACATTTCTAAATGTAAGACAAGATCAAGCACATATTAAAAAACACCATAAAGTCTTTACATGCACTACCTTTCAAAGTGTAAAATGTCTTTTCATATGATTTTTTTTTATTTTATACACAATAACCTTTAAGTGTCACTCAGTATTCTAGCATAAATAATATACTGTAATTCTCTTCTTATACAAATGTTTTGCCAAGTAATCTGCTTTGAGATGTAACTGTCACTTTTGAAATACAAGGCATTATGGATATTAATTACATCTTGATGCAGTGGTTTTATAACCATCTACAGCTTTCTTCACCATTTTGAACACAACTAAAATTTCTTAATTTTAGTAATTAATTGGACAGACATACACATTCACACTCACACCTAGGGGCAATTTAGCAAGTCCAATTGGCCTGACTGCAGTGAGTGTGAATGCATATGTCTGTCTGTCTGTCTGCCCTGCGATGGACTGGCGAGCTGTCCAGGGTGTATCCTGCCTTCCGCCCAATGACAGCTAGGATAGGCTAATACTCTACAGAGAACACACGTAAATGTGGCATTTCTGTTTATTTGCAGAGTTTAACATATTGGAAAAAAATTTAATATAAAATGTGCCATAACTTTTGCACAGGCCACATTATTATGATTTTTTTCAATATTTTAAATTCAGTAAATGAACAGTAATTGTTCATTAAAATGTGCAGAAGTATGAGAAAAAAAAGTATTGTATGTGTATATAAAATTATTGGGACAACAAAACCTTTTATCTCAATTTTTGTTTTTTTTTGCATTGAAAATGAATGTTTTTTTCATCAGTGTTTTGTTCTGACATTTAAAGTAAAATAACAAGAAATGATGTTCTAATTTGGGTTTGAAATGCACCGACAATACAACTTGCTGCATTATTAATTTAATACCAGTTTTTAGTAACAGTGTACAAAGCTGTAGAACAGAGTTCTTCAACATGATATGTCTTTTGCTATGTTAAAACAGCAGGATTCATATTTATTTTTCCTCTTTCTCAGATCAGATTCATGTGTTTAGACAAGCAATCAAGCGTACCTTTTTGAAATGCTTCTGGTGTCTGTACACATATGTGGTTAAAGTCCAAAAGACTGGAAATGAAGGAAATATCTGATCTGACTGCTTGTCCAAACGCTGCAGTACACACATTGATCATGGCTGCACATTGAGGTCACTGATGGGGATTAATAATTATAATATAATAATCACAATTTTGAAACAGAAGTTAGTGCTAAGAAAATAATTCAAGTATATTCATTATGTGTTTGATTAAACAAGTGTGAGTCGTAGCTGCAGGTCATTACTGCAGGAGTGTCAGCATGATCAGTGTTGCACTCATTCCATAGATAAAAACTGAGGTAAATAATCACTCCTGGTAAATATAAAGCTGTTGAGATAATTTTTGACGATAGTGGTTCCAGCATCAACAGCACTAACCTATAAAAACTTTCCTGCGGTATAAGGGCATTTTGATAAACATGAATAAAATCATAAAACAGTTTAACACTATATATAAAAAATAGTCTCTGAATTACAACTCATACAGCAGCAGGCAAGACAAAGAGATTTCAATCAAGACTTTTAGCAGAAATGTAAAGACGATGTACCTTAAGAACAAGACACTTGAATGTGTCTCAGGTTGTCAAGGGTAATACCGCTCCAGGTCAGTCTGCAAAGTGACGATCCAATGCACTTATAAAAGTCATCTTACCCTCTGCCTCATGGGTAGATTTGGTCTTTTACTGTTCAGAGCAGGACGGTTAACCAGTTAGGCAGAATCATGCCTTGTTGCAGCTACGGTCTCTTTAGTGTTTCATGGGAGAGTCTGATGGGTGTGTTTTCAGAGAAAAGCCGTAGGAGGGGTGTAAAGGTGTGGTTTGGTTCCTCCAGAGTAAAGCCATGTGCTTCAGTGTAGTGACACTTCTAGCCATCAACTCTACCACAACGGCTTCCAGGCACACCCATGTCATTATGATTCATTCAAAAGTAATTACTTCAGCAAAAAATCAGGTTTACACAATTCTACATTTATTTCACATGTAGTTGATCAGCCGAAACATGTTTGGTGCCTCAAGTTTACTTCTTTAGTTTTGCACTAGAGCTGCAAGGCTAATGAGGTTAAGTAATGACACACTGCAATTTATACAAATGGACAAAAGTACAGACAAAATTCAGACTTTCATATTGCAGCTACTACTGTTTTTAGCTGTGCAATGTATTTTAGGTCATTAAAGATAACAGTATGTCAGAAATGTCATAATATAATAAGTCTGTTTGAGATTAGAACTTGACACGGTTAAGGCAAGTATGTGATTTAGCACAGTGCTAACTGGTAAGTACAAGTTTCCATTGCTTATTAGCTACATTTGCCTAGAAAAGTGGTTTTAAACCCAATGGGCCATTGGGGTACTGCTAGGGGGGTCATTGGCAGTCCGCAAAACTTTGTTAAAATATATACACATTTAACCAAACGTAATTTTAAATCTGTTATTATTCTTGTGATAGAAATATTCAGGTCAAATTCAGTGATTGGTTTGAAAAAAATGCATGACTGAAATAGATGGCTAGTTATGTTTATATTTTAATGCAAGTCGATGTAAAACATTTCTCTTTTTATCATATGGGATTCACTCATCATGGATAAGTGGCTACTAACAAATTTTTTCAGGGTAATAATAGAGTTATTATTATTATTATTATTATTTCAGATGTTGCAATGTTATACAGTCAAGTCAAATTTGCTATTGAGTTTGACAGCATTTGAAACAATCAGGCTGGTTAAATCCTTTTTTGTGGGCTGCAGAAGCTTTTGTGGTTGGTTGTGTGGGCTGCAAGTTGCAAAAGTTGCCTACAGCTTTAATCATGCCTGAAATTTTGGTCCGATCCCAAATACAGCGCAAGATTTTTCTGTCTGCATTATTAAGTTTTGAGTCCGAACCCCACCCTAGCCTGACAAAATTTTGTCTAAACTCAATCACATCATCAAGTTTTAGGCCCAAAACTGACCCGAGCTCAACAAAATTCTGTCCAAAAATCACTTAAACTGGCCCATTATCGTCTAAAATGCCAAATAAAACCTTATATTTCTAATAGCGGTTAAACTATTGTCAAATTACCATGTAGCGACAATAACAGCCATCACTAGATCATAAAACAAAAAAAATATTAAAATAAATGGTTTTAGCTCAGCACACTTTCCATACTGCACTGTTCTCATGCTGTGTGGTGCTGATATAGCAGCTTGCTTTCAGCTGTTTAATCCTAAAACTATTATATTACATATAATTTATTGAACATGCATAAAAATTATCTTTTGGCCGCACTAAAGTATACTCTGAATTGATCTGTTGTTTTATTACTTGAGCATTTATTTGCTCACAAGCTAAATTCTCTCAACCCAACTAAACTCTTTCAACTCAAGTGAGCAAATCCAGCATTCCAGATTAAGAACTGCTTTAAGGTAATGAAAGTAGGGAAGAGGAATAAAGTACAGAGTAAAACTAAAGCGGGTGGAAATGCAGGGTAAAACCTGCTAAAAGTGACATCAGGTCCGTCAGGTTCTGACAAATATTTCAAGCTCCACATTTGCCATGTAACTAAAGAAGCAAACTTCGGACACCAAACCATGTCTTGGCTGAGCGACTACATTTGGAGTAAGGTGAAAACTGTGTATAATCAATTTTTCACTAAACTACCGCGTTAAGAGGAGAACTTATACCAGCTTAACGGTGTGCAAGGTCCAGGTGACATCATATTCTGGGACTGAAGGCAGGATGTATTGGCTCATTGTGCTCTACAGTGTCAGATGAGTCTCTCCTCCTTGGGCAATTTGAGAGCGTTAGGCGCCTCCACGCTTCGTGCTCCCGTCTGCTCCTCAGAGCTCGGCCTGTAGGTTCCTTCCGTCTGCCTCTTCTTTTTCACCACACAGAAGAGAAAGACCAAGACCCCCGTCACCACCAGCACAACCAAGATCACCACAATTGGCACCACAATCGCCACGATGTCAGGTCCCTGGTAAGGAGAGGAAAGTAGTTATCAGACATTCAATCCTAAAACCACTGAGCCACCACATACACCACACATTAACTGTAATTATGCTGCATGAATGATGCACTCTGAATTACGGATTTCACAGTGAGTTAAAGAACAGGACCTTCATAAATGAGGCTCAGTAATGTATACTCACTGAAGGGGTGGGGGTTGTAGTGGTATTAGTTATGCTAGGCACTGTGCTGGGGTCTGTGGAAAAAAAAGATGTGATGAGAGAAAGACACTGACTGGACATGACAAACTCCACCATTAAAAATAAGGAATCACTAATATTAATGCTTTTTTGCACAGTGTCCTACAATATTTCTGTAATGTAAAATTAACCATTGCCATGAATTTAGTTTGTTTCCGATGAGCATGACTAGAAAAAAAAATTATACCAAATTGCTTCACAGTCAGCGAAACACAATTTGGACTTTTAACTGACTTGGATTTAGACTAAAATCCTATTGCTTTGAGGGACCCCATACCTTACTAAGGTTTAATTTTTTAAAAACAAATGATTGAACATTATATTTTCTCACTACCAAAACAATCATAATGCTACCAAAACTTCAGCAGTGGCTGTTATGGTTGTGACAACTAGGGCAAAATACATTGTTTAGAGCTGTGATGACAGAACAGATCAAATTCCCTCAAATACGCAGAGCCAGAGAGATATCATATCATTGCCGCCACCAACAACCTGTTAGAAGCCTAGCGAATGTGCTGGGAACTACTCCATCCTGAACTACAAGCCTGTAAAGACCCTTTCAAGCATTATGTTCACAAGTCAAAGTTTGGGACAGGCGTCTCCCAATTGAAAGTACCCCATTAATGATGATGTTGTGTATAGTTAGGTTATTGTTATCATAATTGCTAACTTGAGTTTGAATAACAATCCTTTACATTGAATATTTGTTAAGTAGTTTTATTAGAGCTGGATCACAGTATGACCTAATACTGCAGAATGGTCTATATATATATATATATATATATATATATATATATATATATATATATATATATATATATATAAGATATAATATGTTATACACACACACATAAATGTTATATATATATATATATATATATATATATATATATATATATATATATATATATATATATATATATATATATATATAACATTTCTGGGATTAACAGGAAGCTCTTAAGGGCCCATTTTGGACAAAATTTCATCGCTTCTTTTAATAAAAGTGTTTGATGCAATATGTAAATACTGTTACAGTTCCAAAACATACCTTTTATTTCTCAGTCCATTTATGCAAACGAAGCTGGGATTCTAAATTCACTGGTTTTGTGATGTCATGAAGACCAACACATTTACATATATCCACCTATTCAGTCTACAGAACTTCACACAGAAGTTACAAAGAGTGTTTCAGCTCAGACTCCTTATCGACTGAGACAGTCAAATCAAAACAGAGGTTATTTACATTTATCAGTCTTAAAGGCATAGTAACAAAAACATACACACACACACACACACACACACACACACACACACACACACACACACACACACACACACACACACACACATTTTCTAAGTAGCTTATCCTCCTGGGTTGTGAAAGATGCTGGAGACCACCCCAGCCCTCAATGGGTGCAAGGCAGAAAGCACCCTGGACAGACCACACACACACACACACACACACACACACACTCACACCTAGGGCCAATTTAGCATCTCCAATTCACCTGATTGCATGTCTTTGGACTGTGGGAGGAAACCGGAGCGTAACTAAAACAAAAACAGCCTGTTTAATTCTAAAGAATAAAAAAGTTTGGAAGATTGTAGTGTAAAAAATGAATTATGTATTTCTGGAACATAACACCACACAAATGTCAATAATTTGGTCAAGAAATGGAATCATAAGAAAACTGTAGGGTATGGGCCCTTTAAAGGATAAATACACTGTAATAACATATTTATAGTCATTTTTGCCTAGTTATCTGCTTCCAAGATTTGATCAACCACTTTTATAAAACGAAGCATTCTGGTTATTTGTTTTATTAATCTAGAGCCCTGTTCATCATTCTGGACACATGAATAAAATCTTAAATTTATTTATTTATTTACTTATTTAACAGTTTTCTACTAATTACCTGAACCATGTCAAGTTACACAGGGTTAGCATATTAAAAAGCCTGTTTCTACAGTTACCTGCATTTTTCTACATTCACTTGCAACCAAATTGCTGAAAACTTACAAAACTTTTAATCATTATGTCTGAATGCGGATTATCCATTACAAATTATTGATTTCAATGGATGTTTCATTCTTCTGCTGACTACATTTTAAAATTTATCATCCTTACAAGGCATCCTGAGCTTTGCTCCACTTGTCTATTGATCCCTATCACACACTATATGTCCCAAAGTTTGCAGACACCTGCTTATCCAGTGTTTATTCTGCATCAAAGGTATTAATAGGGAGTTTGTCCCCTTTGCTGCAATAACAGCCTCTATTTTTTTGGGAAGACCCGAATGTTGGGACACTGCTGTGAGGATTTGATCATATCGTACTCATACTGGATTTTTCAGTTCTGGATATACGCATAGTTAGGGATGGGCAATATGGTGATATTTTATCATTATCATGATAAAAGGGCCATGAATGCGGTAAGTGGGGATGCTGAGGGGGCTACAGCTCTCTCAGATTTCTGACTTCTTTAATGTAGTGTTTTTTTCAACCATTACATCTTCTGCTCAATATGCGTTCAAGTGATGAGTCTCAGCGTGTGCTTGATTATGGGCTTGGCACAATCAGCGTAATGTCTAAAATCTCACTGGTTGCCGCTCAGCTCATCTGCATAAAGCTTGGCCAGAGGAAGTCAAGTTTTAGGTCAGTTTTATGCGTATTTTAATGTCTCTCATCACATTATAGCACATTTTGACATGCTAACTCCCAGAAAAAAGGTACAAAACCGTCACTGGGGCAGAACCCCTCTTGACACTGGGGTGGCAGCCTCAAGGGTACCTCTCAGAACTTTTAGTCAGTGAACGAAACTGTACCATAATCCAAGATGTTTTGAGTCCACACACCCTGTCATGCCTCCAAGCTTTGTTTTGTACTGTTCTGTTTTAAAACTTTAGGTTATGAAAAGGTATAAATATGTGCTTTTCAACTAGGAAAAATTTGATTGATATGAACATAATAAAATTTGGCATATCATTTTTACATGACATCATAGCATACGTCAAGTATATGCCACTTAAAATGTCAGCAGTCCCAACCTCAAAATACCTTCCCACATACCTATACAGGGCAGTGGTTTTACTTCACAGATAAAAATGCTGAATACACAATTCGCTAAACACATGTTTTAATGCTTCCATCCAAATGACTTTCATAATGGCTTTCCTTCCCACAAGTTTCTTACTCTTCTGTTATCTCGGTGCACTTTCATCCTTGAGGGGGGTGATTATTTACTCACGTAAATGATTAACATTCTGCCTTCCTGCTGCCTCTATCTGTCTATGGTTATTTTCTTCGTTACAGTATCGTACTTTTGCTGTAACACTTTCCTGTCTTGATACTGGGGGGGTTCAGCTGTAAATATTTAATGTTTCCTGGTAAAAGGGACATAATGGTATATGGAGGGACACAATGCCACACAATGGATTATTGTGGTGACCACAGACACTGCATTCCTTGTGCTTTCTCAACGTTAGAGTGTTGACTGGAAGGTCACAGGAGAACGATCACACGTATCTAATGGGAGCCTGACTGAGTAGAGGGCTTGTGTTTGTCTTTAACTGTGCATTCTAAGGGCATTCTTAACATGGCCTCTGTCAAAACCTTCCTCAAAATGCCTTAAACGTTTCTGAGACAAATCAACATGCCTGCACTTGTCTGAGCTGCTTTAGAAAATATCTAGTCCCTGCCCAGTCAGATGTGTCATCAAGCCATTATGTTACAAGTTCAGGTAGGACTGCACAACATAGATAAAATTCCATATTGCAGTTGTATTACTCGACTTACATGCTGTGATACATTAAAGGACCCACATCACAGAAAACTGAATTTTACTCGCTTTTTTAAAATCGAAGACTATGTTGTTGTGTATAAACATTGTTAAAGTCTTATATACAGTTCATTCCCCACCCCATACAGTCCATAGATGAAAACTAAGCTACCAATACAGCCAAATATGAACTTCTTGTTTTTATGATGTCATGGAAACCAAGCCTACAGCAGTTTAGCTCCACCTATTTTAAATTATAAGATGCGTTTCAGTCTGGACTTCTTATTAAAATTAGAGATCCAAATTAGAGAGCCATTCTGGACATTTACATACATCAGTCTTTTAAGCACAGTCACAAAAACAGCCTCTTTCATCGCTTTTTCACTGCATGGTAACGGTTAGACTCGACTCCACTGGCTTTTTTTGGTTTTCACTAGACAAAACTGGTACCTGGTACCTTAATTGTACTGGGTACTATTTTTGGTACCGCCTCTGTCAAGTGAGCTGAACTGAAACCAAAAGGTGATGTAAAAACACTACAGACTACTGATTTGTCGGGAGACAATCACTACACACATAAGCTAATGCTAGCTAACAGGTTAGCATACCCTCTTGCATCACCTTTGAGCAATCAGAGTCGTCTCGCTGTCTGAACTGCGATGTAGTGTTTCCCAAACTCTCCTGTTTTTACAGCAGTATTTTGTCTTGCACGTCTTGTCTGATTCACGTCAAGGCAGTTTCATGTGTTGTCTCTATGACAACCAGCTACATTGAGGGGGTCCTATATCTGCAGTGGAAAACGAAGTAGCTGGTACCAAAAGCGAGTAGAATTGAATCGAGTCGAGCCGTACAGTGCAGTGGAAAAGCGTCTTTTTCATATAGGGGCACATAAAGAGGTTGCAAAATGTTCATGTATAATGAGTTTTGACTGTTTTTTTGTATATAAAAACACACAAATGTCACATATCAGGGAAAAAAATCTGACCCTTTAAACAATATAACATATTTCAGTGAATCTGTGACTGGCCTGCATTAGTTTTTCCAAAAATGAACGTTTGTTGACTACATTCATTCATTTAAACACCCACAGAAACTTACCTGGAGAGTCTGTGATTGGTCTTGATACTCAAAGCACACAATATTGTTCAGTGATTGATTAGAGGCTCATTTGCATATCGCAGCCTTCTGCAATGTCAGTATTGCTGAGGCCAAAATCACAAGAACAATTCACAAACGACACATTGTGAAGGCCAGTCCAACCTCTTCCTTGTGTGTTTATCTTTCAGGATGATTAATAATCCTCCATAAAAAGATGACCAGCAGTTTCAGTGGTGAAGCGCAGCGGTAGTGACTCACCTTGGGCCGACGCTTTTCCAAGAACTAGCAGCAGAGCGCTCCCTGCCGCTAGCCCCGCCTGCAACATTGTGGCCACCCTGGAGTCCATCTGCGGGCTGACCCTGCCCTCATTCGCCCTGGGCCTGGGGCTGGACGCAGCAAACCATGTCAGGGCTTGACGAGACCACAGCAACGGTGGTGGTTCGTCTCTGAACAACTGTGGAGGAGGAGGAGGAGGAGGAGGAGGACACACCTAGCTTAGGGTTTGTTTACATGACACCTCATGATAACTCAGAACTTTTAGCATGACTGATTTCAAAAGGACAGGACGCTCAGTACACTCTGTTTCAGAGTGAAATACTGTACAGTCACTGCTTTTTGTTCTCCATATGGCACGGATTTCTAAGTAGAAGTAGCCTAAAAGTAGAGTGAGGGATGATGGATGCACCTGCCAGTAAAACATACAGCTCATTAATGCAGTCAGTGAATATGTTTGGAACTACTCGGCTTGTGAGAGGCAGAAAATACAGCCAGCTTTTAAGAGTGAAGCTTGGAGGTACAATACAAGTACAATATTTCTCTCACAGAAGCTTCAAATACAGATAAAGCACACAGGTAAAGTGAAACAGCATAAAAAGGCTAATAGTCTGTGTGGTAAAATGTACCATACAGGTTGATATCGAGTACACCTTTGGGCTGAATCCACACTGCTACATTCTGTGGACTCAGATAAGAAGCGAAAAAGACACCCAGAATTCACCAGTTTTTATAAGGAAAACATCAAACCTGTTAAGTTTTTACCTCAGTCCTCACTTCTCAGAGACACTCGGCTCTTCCACACCACGATATCGGACCGCAGGTTCTCTTCCGCTTCACCTCAGCGATGGAGAAGCCCAGAAAAGTGGCTCGTCGACGCAGCTCAGTTAAAAACGCCTAAAACTCAAGGGTTCCTCTGAAACACCGGCGAAGTCCACACGCGCGCGCCCACCGACGAGCCCCGCGAGATCATTCATCACCAACATTGATGGCGGTTCGTTTTTCTTTTCGGTTTTTTTTTCTTCCTCCTCCTAAATTCCCACTGGTGGTCACGTGGGCCAGTGTCACGTTACAGCACCTGAGCTACGAACCTGCAGCGCGAGACACACACGCCATTGTGTGCGCGCGTAGGTATGCCCGCGCGCGCGCGTGCGTGGTTGTGCGCGTTTGAAGGGGAATACCGCCGATTTTTCAAAGTTTGTGCATAATTAAACGGTTAAGATGTAAATAAAGTCATTCAGCGTGATTTGATTTCTCAGTTCTGATAGGAACTAGACGTCTGAAAAGTTTAATGCCTCTAAAAACACCCTCACAGAAAGCGGCCTGTTGTCCGAGACATTGTTTTACTAAAGTTCTGGCTTAAAACATTTTTTTAAGCGATTCATGGTCTAGGGGTACATGCAGGACGTTGTAAGGCAAAATAGTGGCCAAAGAAAAGCTATTTTTCCAAATTACCATGATCAATATCACATAAAAAAGTCAGAAGACACGTGTAGGTTCACTGGTTGTTTTGGATAGTAAATAAAAAGGCTTTTGTGACAACGTTACGTCTGGTTCCTATCACCACCACTGTAAATAAATCTAGGTTGGCAAGTTTCTGTGCAATAAGTCATTTCACACCAAACTACTCTGAATGACTGTCTTCATCTCTGAATTATACAGAGATTTTAAAAATCGGTGGAAATGCCCTTTCACTGTTTATGGGGATAAAATGTCCCTCAGATGCTAGAAAGCATGAACCTTTTGAGACATTTGACCGCTCCACCTGAGGAGGATCCTTTTTTAATGCAGTTTGATCGCTGAGGGTGCGTTAGGGTTGGGCAGGTGTTGCACAGCAGTATTTAGCTACAGTCTGGAATAATAACATCTCTAAAGTACTTCAAAAACTATTGCTTGAAACAGTTTTACCTATCTGCAGTATAGAGCACACACTATTACAATACTATGCAAAACATATTTTAATACAATACAAACAATAACTAAATGCAATATAATTTTTCAGTATTTATTGTGTCCTTTCTTTATCTTGATTACAGCTTTATTATCTTTATTGCAGATTTATTACAGTTTCAACCAACGATCCCTGCAAGATCATTCATCAACAACACTGATGGTGGTGAATTCTCGCATCTTCTGTTCAGGAGACTCACTTTCAGTTTTCCAAACAAATATGCAGGGATATTTTTCCACACATCTAAAGTTCAGTCTTCGAAGTTTACATTTTCTGCTTCTCATGATCCAAGATCTTAAACACATTCCCACGATGTTGACGTCTGGACTTTGGGGTGGTCAGTCTTTTGTTCTGAGAACACCAGCAGCTTGTTTGATTTGCAATTTTTTTCTTTTGCCTGTTTTCTTTTTTTCAGTGAGGGCTTCTTGACAGCTAGACATCCTTTCAGACCTTTTTTAGACTCTCACAGTGGAAAGATGGACAGAAACACCTGTGGATTTTTTCAGATCTGAAGAAAGAGTGGAGCTTGACTTTCTCCTCTCTCTCAAAGATTAAAGCTTTAAGTGCTGTTTATCTGTTTTTAGGACTCCCATTTTCTCTGTATCTGTTTTTATTTACACCATTTTGGCTGGGAATGACATAAATGAAAGGTGGTCTCTGTTTTTTGAACAGTACTGTAAATTCATCCATGTAACTACAATATTATGGTATTAATATGGTGGTTGGAGATTAAAGTGCCTGTATGACTTTCTGACCATTTAACTCTTTAGGGGGAACAGATGCCTCTAAAATGGCAAAAAATTTTGGGGACATTTGAAGTTTTTTTAACTACTTTTGCCAAAAATGCTAATTTTATTAGAAAAAGTAATAAAGTCCAGGCAAACAGTGTTTAGTTGGTGATGTTAGAGTAAGGGTTGGGTTCAGTGCAGCACAGTATTTAGCTGCAGTCAAACAGAAAGCAATCACCCCACAAAGACACAATTGTGTGTGTGGGTGTGTGTGAAGTCCACCTGCTGAAGCCCATTCACTCCACCCCCCCACCCCGACCTTTCCCCACAACGCAATACATATTGTTTTAGGACTGCTAATCTGCCCAATCTTGAATAATCAAAATCCTTTTTAGTTTGTAATACCTGATTCTTTCTGTGAATGACATGCTTGTTTCACCTCAAACAGACTCCTAAACATTACTTACAAACAGTATAACTGTACTGGGACAATAAACAAGCGCTTTAATGAAATTTCACAGTGTTTATTTTATTTCAAACTCCAGGTTGCAGTGGTCTGGTTGCTGCGACCTCCAGCGGTGTCCACTTGGTCAGGCACTTTAATCTCCAACCACCAGGAGCTCATGAATTCCTCACATTCCAGAATATCACTAATCCTCCTCCCTCCTGTGGATATTATTAACCAATTAGTGACCGTCAGGCCAACAGTACACATTGGAATATCATTGCTACATAAGTGAATACAGTATAGCATATATTTATGAGATTATTTTTAAAATTTGAAATGCAAAGAAAAACAGAAAGCAGTGATTTGTAAATCTATTTTGACTTGTATTTAAACAAAAACAGTACACAGACAAGATGTTGTTTTTTATACACTTGTTTTTCATTTCACATACATTCATTTTGAAATTGATGTCTGCAACACATTCCAAAAAAGCTGTGACAGGGACAATTTCATAAAACATGTTAAACAGGTGATGCATTCATGCTTGGATATAAAAAAGGAGAAGGTCCAGGAAAAGTCCAGTCCTTTATGAGCAAGGATGGGTCGAGGCTTTGCCAAAAATGCATCAGCAGTTTAAGAATAACTTTTATCAATAAGCAATTGCAAGGATTTTAGGTGTTTCACCCTCTACAGTGCATAATATCATCAAAAGATTCTGGGAATCCAGAGAAACATCTGTGCATAAAGGGCAAGGCCAAAAACCACGACTGAATGTCCTTCAATGCCTCAGATGGCACTGCGTAAAACCCGCCTGCTTCTATGATGGATATTAGCACACGGGCTCAGAAAAACTTTGTCAAACCATTGTCGATAAATACTGTTCATCATTTGTCCACAAAAGCAAGTTAAGACTGTGCTGTGCACAGTGAAAGCCATGTCAACAATGTTGACAACTGTTCTAGGCTTGAATTTATCTAAAATAGACTGATGCACAGTAGAAATGTGTATTGTTCTATGATGAGTCAACCCTTCATTTTGTTAATGCAGATTGTTTGTAGAAATAATGAACATTGTGTTCTAAGGGCCAAAGAAGGAAAAAAGGACCATCCATTGTTACCAGTGTAAAGTTCAAAAGCGAGGGTCTGTTATGGTAACGGGGGGTGCATTAGTTGGTAACTTAGACATCTGTGAAGGCAGAACCACTGCCTTACAGACTCAAGGACAACTATGCGTATTACAACATAATAGTTCATATAGTCATATTCTGCACGTTACAACAGCATTGCTGCATAATCAAAGAGAGTTAGGTTGGCCTGTCTGCAATCCAGACCTGTCTCCCATTGAAAATGCGTGGAGAACTGAGAAGCACAAAATACAACAACAAAAATCCTTTGTAGATGCACAGTTGAAGACATGTATAAAGGGAAATGCCCATAGGATTGTTAAGTGCTGTAAACAAAAAAGGTGATGCAATTCAGTGATAAACATGCTCCTGTCCCAACTTTTTTGGAACTTGTTACAGGCTTTAAATGTGGAATGAGCATATATTTACAAAAAAGAACACAGGGCCTCATTCACCAACCGTTCTTAAGAAAAAAACTTCTTCTAAAAACCCACTTACGCAGTTTTTATGAAGATTCTGACATTCACTGACGTTTTCTTATATGGGTTTTGTTCTTAGGTAAGAACAGAATCTGTGCACACTCAAGAGCACAAAGGTGTGAACAGTTCTGTGGTTTAAGAACACGTCATGAATCTGACAGAGACTTTTTCTTAGGATTTTTCTCATGAACAAATTTAAGAAAAAAACTTTTGGTGAATGAGCCCAAAGTTTTAAGCAAGTTCAGAGGTAAAACATCAAATATTGTGTTTTTGCAATCAGTTGTGTATTTTGAAATTCAGGTCAAACAGACTTTACAAATCACATTGTTTTTATTAGCATTTCACATACTGTGCCAGCTTTTTTGGAACTGAGGTTTGTATATTATTATTCAAGATTGAATCATTATACAGTGTAGCACTGGGAAATAGGCCTAACACATTTATTTTGCAGGGCTCACTCACACAGTATAATCCAGAAAGAGGAAGGAGACACTTAGACAGACCAGTGGTTTCGATATGACCAAGAAATGAAGGAGATTCTAAATGATTTATTTTTGGTTATGACAAGCCGCCTCCCATCACCGCATAACTCAGTCATTTCACAACCCTTCTTCCTACAAATAGGCCTTCACTAGCCTCATAAACAACTTCAGTTCATTGTCTTCTTCTGGAACATCTCAGCTGCATGCTCTCCAATGCATTTGGTTTTGGGTCAGTTTCCGGAGGCTTTTGCAGAGGTGTGGCCTGGAGTTGCTTAATTATGTTTCTTTAGTACATTATGTCTTCAACTCACTCCCAATTTTCACAGTTTTTTTACACAAAAAAAAGTTTTACACAAATTTGTTCTTTCCCACAGGTGTTTAACTGGCCAGTAATCTCAGTACAGGGTGCAGAAAGTTGCTGATGAATAACTGAAGCTTATTGACTTCTGTTGTTGTCCAGGTTTGTTATGTCAAGTGAACATACATGCTTATGACCTATTGGGTTGTCAGCAGCAACAAAGAAACAAAACTTTTAGAATACCACCTCCACTCAGATGCTGCCTTCAACTGGGACAACTGGAAACTGGGAAAATTTCAACTCGCAGCTTCCTACATCCCACCTCAAAGTGTTCACACAACTTTGTTTGAGGTCAGAAAAAAATGGATACTCACAGTAAACTAGTGCTTGTTTGTCTGCTTTTACACTGGAATTAAAAAGTGATTTGGTTGGTGCTTTAAACATGTTTTTTTATTTATTTTAAACATGGATGTAGGCTATGGCAATCTGCCATTATTATAGGCCCCAAAAATGTATGTGATAAAATATGAACAGAAATGTTGCACAAATCAATGTAACATTTCGATTATCAATGTATCCTCGTGTACTTAGAAATATATTGTACATGAATAGAAACTCAAAAATCTGTTAGAAAAGGCTTAAAACATGCTATGTATTTACTGGGCCCCGCCATGTTGAACTGACATCACGAAACTGCAACTCCAAATTTCTGAGTGGGAATTAATAGTTAGAGGGCTATTCAAATGGATCTTTTCCCTCTTGGAATTTGGAAACAATGTTTGGACCCCTTCTTAAGGACCCCTGCACTCAAAAACATGCTTTTTATATCTAACTCCTCCTGGATGGCTTTTTATGCTTATATGAATATATTAAATGTGTTACCACAGCTTTTACATTTTCCATTAAAAACAGACTTTTTCAGGACTTTCATATCAAAATGATTCAAAGGATGTTACATATCAGCTTTTATACATCATAAACAAGTCTGAACCTATAACGAACGAATATACAAAGAATATGCTAATGAGAAAAACACAGTGCAATAACAGGAGACTTTTAGCTACAAAACATGCCTGAGCTACTGTAGCTAATCACTGCAATGTTTTGACAATGAAAATAGCACTTATCCAAAGTAGACTGGCTAATGGTATTTAAAATGGTAATGTGATCAAATAACTGTGAAATAAGGTGTGTTAGCCTGCTGGTTAGCGCTTTACTGTCCTAATTATCACTAGGTGATAACGCTAGCTTAGGTAGCAGGCTAACAGCCTCACAAAGCCCTGTTGAAAAAAGCAGTACAGACAGCGTGCATTCTATGTGTGTCTGGTGCTGGTGTAGCTGGTCACTCACCATGTTTCTGCTGGTTAATCTGCTTATTAGTATCCAAAACACAACATATGCTGGTGATCAGCATAACAGCCTCCACTGTTACTGACTAGTATACCAGCATACAAAACATAAGATGATCTATGCTGGTATGTGGAGCAGGATCTGTAGCAGATTAGGTTATGTTACTGGTTTGTATGGGGGAGATTGGAGTTCAAATCCCTGACTGACTGTTAACATTAGTATGTACTAGGAAGTTAGTATGCTTTTGGTAAAAACAGTACTTCGCTGTCATTTGAAACATAATTACACTGTCTGTCTTGATGAGTGTTTGCCATATGTAATTAAATGTAATTTAATTCACGTTTAAGTTGTCCTTTTTCCACCTTGAGGCCCTGCCCCTGAAAATGTTGGGACACGGTTCTGATCTTAGCAATACTAAGCTCTTTCGAATAGTCTGCTCAGTAGTGAGTGATGCAGCTTTTGAAAATAAATGGCCTAAATATTAACAAAAAAAATACAAACTCCACAACAAGCAATATATATATATATATATATATATATATATATATATATATATATATATATATATATATATACACAATTGTGGGAGCAGTAGTGGACTTAAGCGCAAAAAAAAAAAAAAAACAGAGAGAGAAATAAAACTGTTGAGAATTTTGTGACTTCATTGAAATGATAATCAAACGTTGCATCAAGTGCATTAATGCTGCATTTGAGTTGGCTCAGTTGTGGGAAGTGCATCATTTTCAGCATGTTCAAGCTACAAAGTGGAGAAAAACACAGATGCCTCCATGAAAGAGCATATTATTAGCAACAAGCTAGCTAGTAAAACCAACATAGACCAGCATGCCTTACATATGTTGTTTTGGATGCTGGTATTCTGGTTGGTAGTGATGGAAGTTGAGTGCTGGGTGACTAGCTAAACCAGCACTAGACCAGCACAGACCAGTTTAGACCAGCACAGAATCCTGGTCTGTGCTATTTTTTCTCAGCAGGGGTTAGTGTTGTAAGGGATAACATATGTATTTATCTTCTCAAAACATCAAAGTTTACTGTCAATGTTATAGTTGGAGGTGGGAAGTCAAGTGCTCGCTTAATACTGCCCACCAATAACGTTGAGAAACAGTGTGAATTGATTAAAAATTACAACAGCTTACAATGTGACTTACATGTATTCTGACTGTACTCTGAATATGTTACTTGTTATACGCTGTAATAGAACTGCCTTCAGAAATGGGCCAAAGGGAGGCGCCTCAGCAGGAAATTAAACTCGAAGCCTTCCGGCCTCCGAGCACTCCCCGAATAGGCAGCATTTTCTATTTGGGACACAGCCAGGGAGTCAAGTTCAACGTAGAGAATTCGAACACCACTATAAAATGGCTGACGCACTATGTAGTGCGCTAGTTCCGTAAAGCGATTCAGAACACAGTCGGAGACTCACTGACTCGTCACTACTCGGTCGGTCGCGGATTGTCCAATCACCGATCGCAAATTTCGGGCCTTACAGCTACAGAGCCAATCAGCGTCCAGAGCCGCCCGCTGTCGCGTTGACGTCGTACTAAAATCGTCCGAACACACTGGCGGGAGACAGAAACGTTGCGAGCTTCCTTGTCGGTGGGGATTTGGCGTAGAGTAGCGTACAAAAGCAACGTTGCTCATTTCATTTAAATACTTTGGACGCCTTATGAGCTGCATTTCAAATTCCTGGGAGAGAAACACGGCTAACTGCGACAGTTTCCAGGTTCTTGCTAACCAAACTGCTGCTAACGTTAACTGGCTAACGCGCTAGCTAGCTAGGCAGCACCTGCTGACCCGTCTAAGCCTTTGTCTCTTTAGAAAGGTCTCCGAAGACTTTCGTTTCTTTCTCACGTTTTCCAGCTTTTCGTACTTTATTTTTGCCTGTTTGTTTCCTGGGAAACTCTGTTGCAATTTTATTTCCTCCTGTCTTGCTAAACTTGCTAAACCGCATAGCAGAGTAACATGGCAAAAGTGCAAGTGCTGAATGTTGCTGTTCTGGACAACCCGAGTCCTTTTGGAAACCCTTTTCAGTTTGAGATAACGTTTGAGTGCATGGAGGATCTTCCAGAGGGTGAGCATTTTTCTGTTTTGTTGTTTGACATGCTATGCTTTCTATAAGTAGCTAACGTACCTCCTTGAGTTGACGTCAGAGGATTGGCGGGATGTTGAAACATTGAATGGGCGTCAAGTTCACTCCAGCTCATTGTGTTAACTACTGTTCATACACTAATAATGGCTCGTAGTTAAGATAGGTTAACCTACCTAAACTTCGCTGTGTTGTTACTCTTTATCTCTTGTACATCGTCTAGTATCAAGGTTTTGTTGAGGGCAAACGGCTTCAGTCAGTTTCAGTTCAGTTGCTACACTTGTAAAAAATATGGCTCTTCAAGGGTTCTTTAGTATGGGAATGGTTCTGTTTAGAATCAACAGAATCGACTTTTCATTGCATGGTGAAATGGTTCTTCAGGTTGATGGAGAATATTTTGTATATGGTTCTATATAGAACCTTTTTGAAAATGGACGAAAAAGCGTTCTTCTATTATTACAATGTCAAAAAGGACCAATTTTTAAATAGATTCTGTATAAAACCATATACAAAATATTCTTTGTCAATCTGAAGAATCATTTCACTATGAAAACAGCCATTTAAGCATGAAATTCCTTTTACTAAAGAATCCTTGAAGAATCATCTCTTTTAAAAGTGTAGAAATGGCTGATGAGTTTGTATGTTACTCAAGCACAGCTATGTTTGAGTCTAACTTTATTTCTGTTGTAGATCTTGAGTGGAAAATCATATACGTGGGCTCAGCCGAGAGTGAGGAGTATGATCAGACTCTTGACTCCGTCCTGGTTGGCCCAGTCCCTGCAGGAAGACACATGTTTGTGTTCCAGGTGAGGTGACGCATCGAAGTTACACCGATTTCCTAGCCCCACGTTAAGGCTATGTCTTGCCTCATAAGGATTTTCAGCAGTGTTTCACTATGGGCATTGCTGTTCAATCTGAAACTAGGATCAATCCATCGTTAGTCTGGATAACCGGCCTCTGGGCAATGCTAATTTGTCCCCCTTAAAAGGGAATTCCATCAGTTTTTCACCCTTAAAACGTAAACCGTCAGAGTGATTTAATATGAAATGCTCCGTTCTAGAGAAACATACAGAGTCAGAAGTGTTCATAGTGGTGATGAACAGAAACAGATGTCTAAAGAGTTTAATGCCTCTAAAAAAAAGTTCCTGCACAAAATAGGTACAAATACTTTGCTTGGTGCATGAGACACATGTTTTATTGTAGGCTTCTGTCTAAAACATATTTAAATCCATTAATTTTAGAGACCTATATGCAGGGTGTTTATAAGTAAAATATCATCTAAAAAAAAAAAATTAAGCTTCTCTTTAATGTACCAATTCAGATTATAACACTCTGAATCACTGTTACATCTCAATGCATTAACTAGACAAAAAATTTGGAAAAACATTAGAATTTACCTTTAAGCACTTATGCATTGATTGGGACCCATTATGTGTATCCTGATGTGATTTGATACTCTAATCTCTTGCTTACATTTAATTTGTACGGGGTTGAATAAACATTCTCTTATATTAATTCATGTTTTGGTTCATTACACCAAACGTCTAAAGAATCAAAAACAAATTAAACTCAACAGTTATGTTCATTAGGTTGGAGTTAGGTTACATTTGGGGCAGAAACTTTCTATATTCAGTATTAGGTCTGGATTCATACACAAGCTAAGTTATGAATATTTAAAAAAAAATCTAATAAAAAGTGAAAAGTTGTAATAATTCATTTTTTGTGCTTAAATAAAAGCACAGTTTCCCAGATCTTTGCGAGGAAAAGCCTTTCTGAAGTGTGACTTATGAGTCATGGGACACAAATGCACAAATTGAAATGCTCCATTTATGTCTGAAAAGTATGAATTAAAAGTACTCAAGTCTTTTACCATGTGTGCCATTAAAATGGCCTTCTTTGTTTTGCAAAGTTGAAAATCTGTGTTGAAAAAAAAAAAAACATGCATGTCTTTATATCTTTAAAGGGAATGTCAACTTGATTGCAAATATTAAGAATTCAGTTGATTTTTAAAAATTTCTGCGTAGTTCAATCGTTGAGATGTAAACAGTCATTCAAAGTGACTTGATGTGATATGGTGAGTGAACTTTTTGGCAATGTTGAGTGATTTCTTTATAGCCGTGGTTATAGGAGCCAGGAGTGATGTCTAATAAAGCTGTTACCCAAATATAGCCGTGTAGAGACAAACAAATCTTCTGAGTTTTACATGTCATGTTGATCATGGTGAAATAGTGGGAAACCAGGGAAAAAAAGTTTTCTTAAGGTAGTATTTTGCCTTAGAACGCCATGCATATGCATCTCTGCCATGAATTGATTTAAAAAAAAAAAAAAGTTTTAAGTCAAAATCTTCTTAAAACCTTTGTGAAAACAATGTATCAGGCCCTAGATGACATGTTTGTAACAGTTTTGTGTAACTTTCTGCAAGGTAGCTGAGACATTAAATACTTCGGACGTCAGGTTTCTGTGACCACTGATGTGAGAACTTCTGAAATGTCAACTGCATTTCACATCAGTTCACTCTGAATGGACCTCATTCATCAATATCTTCCTAAGATTTTTTTTTTTTCTTAAATTTTTTCCTAAGGAAAGTGTACATTAGATTCATCACGTTCTTAAACCACAGAACTGTTCAGAGCTTTGTGCTCTTGAGAACTAATCCCAAATAAGAACACATTGATGAATGATAGAATCTTCTGTAAGTGGATTTTAAGATTTTTTTTTTTTTAACTTCTCTGCATCATTTGAGCACAGGAGCTGCCCTTTATATTGTGTGAAAATTCCATGCTTAACAGACTAACAGAAATACTCCAAAATTATGTATTCAACATTCAAGCCTCAAGCCAGAAAAGCCCATGGGCCTCATTCATCAACCATTCTTAAGAGGAAATTTCTTCTTAAAACCCACTTATGCAGTTTTCGGGAAGATTCTGATATTCATCAGTGTGTTCCTACTTGGGATTTGTTCTTAGGCAAGAACAGAATATACACAAACTAGAGCACAAAGGTGTGAGCAGTTCTGTGGTTTAAGCACACGTCATGAATCTGATGTAGACTTTTTCCTAGGATCTTTCTCAAGAACAGATTTAAGAAAAAATTTAGGTCCCATTATGCTGGCTGTCTTAGGGAAAAAATCGTGACGTTAATTTATGGAACATTATTGCAAATCAAAACAGTCACAACATTGGTTTGAAACCTCACAATTAGACTTTTTTTAAGCTGTAGATTAAAAAAATCTGCCCTAATTCTGATTGGTTTGTGGGAACTCTTGAGGTTAGCAGCTTCCAACCTATTCCTGCCCAGCTCCAATTCAACTGAGGAAACACAAAAGCACAAACATCTCCTTTGTGAAGTTACCAACATTGTTTTTTTTTGTTTTGCAGTCAGTAGTACATTCATGCAGGAGCCTATATCTAAAGTAAAACAGATTAATGTAAGGTGACATCCCCTTTAATATCGTATGTTTGATGTATATCTTGATGTTTTTTTATTTTAATTTTGATATTATTTCTTGCTGTGTGACAGTCATAGTTTTACTGTGGGGTCTTAAGGTGTAGATTTAAAGTTAAACTTCAAAAAATGTAATTGTAAATGAAAATATGACCCTCTTCCCTGACGGTACTGTGGTGCTCTTGTGTATCTTTGACAGGCTGATGCCCCAAACACAGCCCTGATCCCTGAGAGTGATGCTGTGGGTGTCACTGTTGTCCTGATCACCTGCACATACAGAGGACAAGAGTTTATTCGCATTGGTTATTATGTCAACAACGAGTACACTGACGCTGAGCTCAGGGAGAACCCACCACTCAAACCTGACTATGGGCAGGTAAGCTGAACATCCTTTTAGCTTAAGCAGGATTAATGGAGAAATCTTTACAGTAGATTCATGTCTTGTATGAAGTTGAAACATTCATAGAAATTTCACAAACAATGCTCCATTGTTTCTGATCAATGGAGCATTGCTTGTTTTAATAAAACATACAGCTCACTCTTTAGTTATTTAGTTGTATTTTTTTTGTCATTGCTATCTAGTACAGTAAAAGATGGGAAATATTATTAAAAGCCTTAAATGGCTTGAACTTGGGCCGTGAGTCATCTTTAACAGCATCTTTACCAGCTGGCCAATTTGGTGTGCAAAAAGTGAACTTAGTTTTTTGTATCACTCTAGCAAATAATAACACAGTGAATCTTTGTGACATAGGTAAACATTTAATGTTGCATTTTCAACCTAAAGTCAGTTTCACTGACAGTCCAGACTTCACTCTCTGTGGCATCTTCAATAACTTTAATATTGGCCAGCTATGAAGAGCGTCAGTCAAAAAATGCACTGTAACATGCCCACCCACTCTGTCTCTTCACTAGACTAGCTTATAAAATGATGTAGCTGCATTCATTTTCATGTTATTTCTATAAATTTCAGAAGTGGTGGGTCAGATTTCTGAGAAGCAGGAAAAATTTTCATGTACCTCTGTGCTTATAGACATGTTTTATATCTTGTTTTTCAGCTCCAGAGAAACATTTTGGCTTCAAACCCACGTGTGACCAGATTCCATATCAACTGGGAGGGATGTTCAGAGAAGATGGAGGATTCTGAGAATGTGGATCCGGCTCCTAACGCGATGCTGCCCCCTTCGTGCCCTCCAGGCAAAGCACCTCCACTCGGACTAATGCCAGACAACTCCATGGACTGCTTGTAAAGATCCAAGGCCACGTGTAAAGAAATCCCTCACCTCAGAGCACTTATGTGCAAGATCCACCGGTCCAGAGAAGATGACATGCAGATCAGCAATGACTTTCTTGATTTTCGGATTCATGGTTTGGTCAGGCTCTCAATGTATTGAGTCTGCTGGCTTAAACAATCAGTGGCATTAACGTTTGACATGTTAGAAGAATGAATGTGTCAGAGCAGTACTGAAACAACTTGTGAGACGGACTGAGTAACGAGTGTGAGACGTATCCCCAGCTCTTGTTCACACTGTTACATATGCTTGTCTTGAGCCATGCCGTTCGATTTTTCAGAGAGTCTTCAGAAAGAGAGGTTGTAAGTTATTATAGGTCATGTGACATCACAGGAGCGATATGTTGCTCATCCATAAGAAAAAGATCAGATTTGCTGTGTTTAACACAGTCTGCAGGTGGGATTGTATAATACTGTATATATGTTTACTCTGATTTGTATGCCAGCTGTCCAAATAAATAAATATCTTTTGTTATGTGATGGTTGCAGTGAGCACTTTTTGTCTGTTGTGCTGGGAAATGGAGTGTAAGTGCAGCTGTGCTCCATTCATAAAAAAGCAACAGTGCTGTATTATGCAGGAGCTCACCTCCCTCGCCATTTTTGGAGTGGCGGGTCCTGCTAGCTTGCTGTTGCTAGGCAACATGGACTACTGCTGCATCTATGGCCATACCTCAAAGTGGCAGCATCAATTCTGCCTTTTTTTTATCTGGTTTATTATGATGCATTCGTACATTAGACTCAGTGCTTAACACCTCACCTTTTATACTGTGCTCTGTTTCTTTATTCAATAAGTCTTTAAAACTTATTGGAAACATTTCTCATTAAATAGTGCAGTGAAACATAATTTAATGCCTTCCTTCTTGGAAGTTAAAAGACATGCTGACCACCTTGCTTTTCTGCTGAAATCTGTTTGTACTGCACTTTAATGTGATAATTCATATTTACATATGTATAGCTAAATATGTTGCTGTTATACATGCACAAAAACAATGCATCTTAGGTAATCTAGACAAATAAATTATGCACTTTTTACATCCAGCTGAAAAAAACGCTTTGCATTTAGTTAAAAAATGCATCCTCTAGATCAACAATATCGTCTCATGTCTATAGCTGGAGAAAACAATGCAGTTTATATTTAGATAAATAGGACATTATAACTTCATAGCTGAAGAAAATAATGCATTTTATGCATCTACTGCTGCATACAATGATGTATCTAAGATGACTAAAGCTGAACAAAGTTATGCATATTACACATCTAGATAAACATGATAATACATGTATCTATATGACAACATATCTTTAATTAATTAGGTCATTTTACATGTCAACATTTTACCGAATGCATGCCAAACATGTAGATAAACAACATTTTCATCTTATACATCTACATAAACGAATAATGCCTGTTATATATACTTTATGCACCAGCGCGCGCATCACGTTTTAATATTCCAGACGCGCGGGGCGTCCGCGTGCCGCAAATTCTGACCAACATTCTAAAAATAGCCTTCGCTGACGTCACGCAGCCAATCACGGAGTAGTCCAGCGGGAGGGGGGGGGTCTGCCAGGCCGTTTTTTTCGTTTCATTAAAAATGACTCCCGAGCAAGACATCATGAACACATCTTCTGCTCCCTCTTAGCTGCGATGCTGCTCCCGCAAAACATAAACGAGGCCCGAGGGTTGTAAAAATCGCTGTTATTAAACTGAAACGAAAATACATGACGTTATATGTCCGTTGGTGGTGGTGTTGAAGAGAGGGGGAAAAATACAACCGTTACGGACTGATATCAAATTGACCAATCAGGACGCTTCTTGCCGTGGACGTTTAGCGCTGCGGCCAATCGACAGTGGTCTTTTGCGGCGCGTCACGCAGACCTTGACCAATAGCGAGCGCGGGGAGGCGGGCCCATCCGAAGCAGGAGTTCCCTCTAGCTGTGGATGGAGGATTAATGGTGGGGTCTGACTGACTGTCGAATTATGCGAACGGCGATATTGTTGAGTTTCGAGACCTGAACTGTGCATGAACGTGGGAAAGTTTAAGATAAGGCAGCCGGCGATATTTGTGGAAGGGGTCGGGGAGTAGCGGGGACTGCAAGCAGAGGCAGAAAATAAGGTTGTGTCGCGTAATAAGGAGGAAAGTCGAAGGCCTTGGAGGTGGAGGTGGCGGTTGAGGGGGGACTGGCAAAGCGAGGCTGGGAGCGAAGGTAGCCGACCGCTAGGGCGAAGACCAAAGCCAGGCGTCTTGAGCTTATTCCGACCCATTCGGACTGAAACGGGGAGGAAGACGGGGGCCACTGCAAATAAGCACACACCGTCGGCTAGCTAGCGCTTGTTCGCTAGCTAGCTAGCCACTACAGCCTGCTAGCCGAAGCGACTTGACTCGTTTCCTCGCTGAAGGAAGACTAGTCGGCTGGTCAGAGACGTAGTAAGAGTCAGCTCGTTATGGTTATGAGCAGCGCCAGCTAGTGCAGCCCGGCCTCTGGAAATTGTATGCTCTTTTAGGAACGAGGGTGCGAAAAGACCTCGAAATTTTGTAAGGAAAACAGTCGAGTCAAGAGGATCTTCCTACCTGGCCTGCAATCATGGGCAACGCGCCCACCGCCAAGAACAAGGGCAACGAGATGGAGAGCGGTGAGTAAAAGGCTTTGCATTTCAGAGAGATAGACAGCCAAACTGGCATTTATAAAAGCAACAGTTTTTTTTTGTCAGGCAAGTGCTACGAGTTGGATCACGCTTGTCAAAGTCCATAAAATGATTGTCACGTTCAGTCAGTCAGTTTTGAGGATGCTGGAAAAATGACAGGCGCAAAGGCCTCATGACTGAGATAGCTAACTAGTTAGTCAACTCCCCCCTCCGTTAGCTACCTAAATACACATGGCGTCTATGTAAAGATGTGGGAGATTCAGTCTGAATTAATTTGACATCGTTCTCCTATGTTAATTTATTCCTGGCCTTTCCATAATCAGCATCTGGCTTCTTAGAAAAATCTGAACTCTGGTAATATGGATGTCCAATAGCCTGGTTGTAGGTTTCCCAACAAGACTGAAATCCATTAAAGTTCAAGTCAAGATAATTAGGTTGGTCTTTTAGTGTCTATGTTCATGCCTTCTTGCACATTCCTAACCAAGACTGATGCTGGCTTATTTATTTTATATTTTGAACAGATTTCAGATTTATGGTATTTGTGAATTAGGGAGCAAAGCTGCTGTAGGACCACCAGGATGTGTTTCATTTAAGTAGCACTTTTGGTTATAATGCAGCAGGTTGGAGGCACAAGCTCCTCACTGGACACATCACTGATGCTGATGCAGTAATCCAGCTCCATATTAGTTGATACCTGCCAACACAAGAGTTTGCTGTGAGTGAAATGCAGTTGCCTGTGTTTGAAATGTACTGTAGTTGCGGGTTAATTTAGTGCAGGCCTTACTATAAGTATGTAAGACAAGCGCTCATACACTTTGACCCAAATGGCGCAGTGCCACTTTTAGACTATTCAGCTGTAACTGTCTCTGCATGTGTAATTGACCTATCAGTGCTCAGCCCAGAAATGTGTGTCGATAGTTTTTTCTGTTTTGTGTCATTTTGTTGTTTTTTGTGTGTTTTTTTTTTAATGGCAACTGTTGCTGGGTTGGACAAGCTTTGCAGAATGCCTTCATAACATTGAGTTTCCTGATCAAACTGGGTGCACTTCATTTTACTGTGCTAGTTTGCCACATTTTTACATCACTAGTGGCTGTAGTAGCTGTCCTTACTTAGGGTGAATTGTCACTTGTGCATTTGAAAAGTAAATGTCAATTTGCCAGATTTTGCCATGATTTTCGGTGTGTTGCGTGATGCAGCTTTGCTGAATGAGTGAGAGTTTTCAGGCAGCAAAGTTGGATCGTATTATATCATATAACTGAATCCACAACTGAACCTACGATTCATGGATCATGTGCAGCTTATAAGTTGAGAAAAAACCACACCCACTTGGCACATTCATTACATGTGCTGGATGGACATTGCTACCAAACTGGACTGTGTTGTTAAAGCTAATTGAAATAAGGCTGATTGGGCAACATATTTACCACTGTGCTAAATTTAGTTTAATTTCACAACAAGACACCTACACCGAATCTAGTCTGATAACAAGTGTGACCTTAACACACATACAACATAAATATCATTTGAAATTAATAACACACTATACATTTCCAGAGTTTGACAAAGTTGCAGGCTGTGCACCACAGTTTCTCATTTGGCTTTGTCTCATTATGTTTCCTAAAGCTTGTCCAGCGCCACAGAAGACCACAGAAGTCATTTCTTAGAAAGTGTTTTGCGTTGGACTTATGAGAATTGGAAACCTTCCTGTTTAACACTGTGCACGCTACTTATAGAACATATGGAAAGTTCATATATATAAGAATAAAGTAAGCTCCAGGAACAGCTGAGGGAGAGAATAAAGTGGGAAATATTTGAGCCTGCAGTCGCAGTGGGTTTCCTGGGAAAGGACTCTGTGACCCTGAAGGTTAAACTGGAGAGTTGAGCCCTACGTGTGTTTATGAGAGGATTTGAGTTGAGAAAGCCTGAAACATAAACAGAAGCTTGTAGGGTTGAGCACTGAACTTTCAGAGGAGGGTTTGGGAGCTGAGGATTGGTAGGGGGCGCGGGAGGGGTGTGTGTCTTGTGGGGAGGGGGTTTTGTTGCTCCACTGGAGGAGTCGTGGAGGCGGGGTCATATGATGCGGCCAGTGTGATCCTCTCCGGGCTGGAGTATGACGCTGGGGAGTCTCTTGAACATCATGTGATGGCCAATGTTAAGAACAAGACCACTTTGTGTATGATTCCTGCATGTGGCTTTAGGCTGTGATACGGCTTCACCTTCTCCTTCTGCTCCTGTATGTGTGCAGTTGTTTGCTGTTTTTCTTTTCGTTTTTTTTTTTTTAATTTTCGTCTCATCAGAAATATCTGAGTCTGAGGTCGTTGCAAAGTTAGGACTTTCACTGGAACTTCCTTCTCCTTTTGGTGCTCAGTAGACTGTAACATCTAATAAATGAGTTTGAGGAAGATGAACTAGTGTACACTGAAACCACTCTTTTTGTTTTCTGCTCTCCATTTGCTCAGCACCCAGAGTTAGATCTTTGTCAAGCGTGTCCCAGCTGAAGAGTCCTGGCTGCGAAGTGGCACAGATACGTGTGAAATGAGTCTCTGCGGCCCTGCTGCTAGCTGGAACGTATGTGTGAAGAGCGGATTTCTATTGGCATGTGACTGAATGTCATTTGAATAGGCCTGATACATTCGCTTTAGGAAAGTGGGCAGTTTTTTTTTTGTCTGCTTGGGATGCTAAAGGAATATTCCAGCATTTTTCAGCTTAATCTCTATTAGGGATGTGCATTCCAACAAATTTTGATATTTGAGTGTCTGTAAGAGTTCATGAACGAGTGTCTGGTTAACCACTGAGAAGGGGAAAAAAAACAGCAGCAAAAAACAAAAAAAAATATGTGCAATTAATGTAGCACTGTGGCTTACCTTTTTAGGTGACAACACTGGTGTTGCACAACAATTTAGCATTGTACAGATGAATGCATTTCAAAACATGTTTTATTATTCAAAAATATCTGAGGTAAATCAGTAAGTTTCGGTGTCAAATGAGAAACATAATGGAGACAAGTTAATGAGCTAAGACTACAATTAACCAGTAATGCTGTTATACAGGTGTTTGTTTTCCCTCTTCTATGGACAGTGAGCCGACATGTTCGTTTGTTGGTGTTTGTTTGGGGAAAAAAAAAAGGTGTTTCCCTGAATTGTTTTCTCCTCCATTTTTCAATGATGAAGCACAACAGATACCCCATTTCAGTGATTTCAGTATTTATATAATGACTTCTCGAATGGTTAACCGTGTATTGGAGTACCTGTGCACATCTCTAAACCACTGTGTCTGAAATTTTGATTATAACAGACAGTGATTTGAAACAGCTGGTTCAACACGTCCATTGGTTTGTATTATAAGTATGTTTCGATTAGGTTGACAACTGCTGGAGTATTCCTTTCATGTAGAGGAGAGTGACGGAGTCCAGGCTGGATGCCAAGCTGTGCTCTGCTGTCGCTCCTGGATGGGTTTACTGGGGGTAGGGGGTGGGAGGGCTGCAAAGTTCCTCCCCATAGCATGCCTCATGTCCTTATCGGCCCCATCGCTAGTGGCCCACGTTGATCCCTAGAGACAGGTGCATTGCCTCGCTTAGAGCCACTGGCAGGGGAGGGTCATTTTGCAGTGCAGGCTGGGACAGAAAGGACGACATGGCTGCCTGTTCCTGGCTGGGCAATGAAGGAGGACAATGAAGACAGTAGGTGGCTCAGGTGCCTTCTGCACCCCTGCACTGGAAACAGTTGCTTGAACCTGCTTCAGGGAGCCCTCGCTCCACAGGAAAGGGAGCGAGGTGGGGGGGCAGTGTTAGCCAGGACAGGAAGTGGAGGAACTGTGGAGGCCTCGCCCTACCTAGCACTTTAAACAAGACTGCGTAGAGTGCTGTGCAAGAAAAGAGTTTACTGCCTGGTCGGTGTTGTTCCTGTTTGGGCCCGGGGCTGGAGCACTTTTTGTTGGGAGGTTCAAGTCAAGGTTCAATCCCTCCTAGCCAAGCTGGACAGTGACCCGAGCATGTCAGTGCTGCAGAGATTGGCAGGGAGGCTGTTCCAGCGGGCTGGACCCTGCCTCGGTGACTCTGACAGCGGGGAGGGCAGTCACTACAAGGCCCAGGATGAGCCAGAGGCCTTCGTCTCCAGTGAGTGGCTGAATTTGAGAAGGCTGCTGAGGGGGTGGAGCCGAACGCTGCGACTGAGTGGCTGAGGCTGCTCGTGTTGGGGTGGGACTGTGGGTGGAGATCCATGTATGATAAAGATCTCAACTCCCAGTTCTCCGGCACTTGCATGATTGTAATGTTTTAAAGTTGGCCTCTCCGTTGGCGATTTAGCAGCCTATTTTTTTCTTCCACCCCAGATAATTCAAGGAAAATCACTGTTCTTTGCTGGAAACGTGCTTCAAGCTGGAGTTCTCGGGGTTGTTGTCGAGATTGCGATTAGATCATTTTTAATACACTTTGCTGTAGAAGGCTCAGTGCAGTGATGTGGCTCTGCCAACACATGCACACAAAGCCCTTTTTATTCACCGTCTAATGTTTGCTCTGTTGCCTGGTGTTGGCTGCGTCATGCAGGAGTTCCAGGGAGGCTGTATGTCTGTCTCCCCGGAGACCTGTCAGTGTGTCCTGCTTTTGTGGTCTCTCCCTACCGCTTCTCTTCGCTCACTCCTGATTCGGCCTGTCAGAGATCAAGATCCACCATCCTGTAGAGTTGAGTTTTTCACTAGTTGAACATGCCTCGCTCTGATATTCAAATTGTCACTGTCCTGTCAAAACCTCGTTGCTCAGTAGTCATTGTGACTGTTATTTGTCACTTGTATCTCCTAAATGCAAACTTTACAGAAAAAGAAAAAAAAAATTCTTATCTTTTTAGATGCGATAAGTACACTAATTATTTATTCCAAGTAATTTGGAGCACTTCTGTTGGTGTATTAATCATGGAATTCTGACACAATGTAAAGAACAACTAGCATTTTCAGCTAGCATTAGATGAAAGTTAATAATAACTGAGAAAACATCA